CAGGCTACCAAAAAGGTGACCCATGCACAGCTAGCAGAAGTTGTATTTGCATAAATATGCAAAAATGCATAAAAAAGTTAAGTCAACGATAGTAAATCACTTTCAAAACATCGATGTTGTAAAAATCACCTTGCGGCGTACCACCTGGTTGACATGGGTTGATAATGCTGCCGGGAGCCGATGGTGGCGGCATCTGGTCAGAAGCACTGTTTGGTGCCGCAAACCCTGCACAATGATATCCACCTGGCACTGTATTGTACGGTACCGCGTGCATCTAAAATTGCCCAGCTTAGTTAGGTGCACTGAGCTGAAGCTGCAGAATGATAAAAACACAACCACAGACGGATCCACTGACGGACTTTTGAGGGAGAACGGTGACCTGGCGAGTCCCCACCCACCTCGGAACTGTGCAAAAACTGGGAACAGAGTTGTAACACTGCTACTTAGAGTTACTTTTGGCTTTAGCTTACTTTAGTTTAGCTTTAGACCCAGGCTTTTGCTGCTGACCCTTCGCCACCTCCCCTTCCCCTCTGCGCCCGGATCCGCCTACGGTTCCGAACAATTTACCTTGAGACAAACGGCATTTTTAGCAATAAATGAACTGTCTAAATTAAGCCTATGGAAATAACCGCTTCCGTATTTCAGCAACAGAAGCACTCGTAACTGATTAAGGTGACAGCATTTTTCCAGCAAAAACTGCACAGTGGCGATGTCGTCTATGGTTCCTGTTTCCGATAGTTGCTTAATGAGCAAACACAAAACAGTTTCTATATGCGTCACCACCACCATCATCATCACCTATTTAACATCAAAACAAATCACTTGATCCTGCAGGGACTGATGTTTCTCTAACAGACGTGACTTAACCGCTCCATTCTATGCGTAAGATGCCCGTTATATTAGGTTCGGCATAAAAAAAGTATTCTAGACCAAGCACTCACTTTGAACTCAAACCCCTCGCCCTCTTGTTAATGAATTTCAGTTCCTCTCTCTCATTCGCTCTCCAGAACAGAAAAGCACTTGGATGTTGCTTGAAAGTCGAACAACTTCTCACTACCTAAATCAAGGTGTTTTGAAAAAAAACCGCTGAGTACCTGAGTTTCGGCGACCAAAGCACGATATCGATCACGGTTGAAGATATCATCGCTGTTTATCAGTATACGAGCCATTTCG